AGAGAGAGAGAGAGAGAGAGAGAGAGAGAGAGAGAGAGAGAGAGAGAGAGAGAGAGAGAGAGCAGAAAAATAGAATTTGTCTCAATACTAGGGTTGCACCCCCCAATGGTTGGCGGCCCTTGACTGGTCGGCTGGCGACCTGCCGACCGATCAGCTGGTCGGCACCTGCCGGTCGGGGGTCATCGGCGCCCCGCAAAAAAAATAAATAAAATAAAATAAAATTGGGAGGGGTCCAGAACCCCTAATAACACCAGCAACACCCCCATAGCGGCCTCCAATACCCTCATACATCCCCCCAACACGCCCAAACCGCCCCCAACACTCTCATTACCCCCCCCAATACCCCTTATATCATCCCTATGCCCCCCCTATACTCCAACCCCAACCCCCCATACGCCCCCCCATCCCCAAATGTTTCTCAGCGGATTTTTTTTGTTTTTTTTTTTCTCACTGGTCGGCAGACCGCTGACCGGTCGGCCTGATTTGTTGGCTGCAATACGGTCGGCGGTCGGAAGGGATGCAACCCTGCTCAATACTGAATACACGAGGAATGAGTTAATCGTCTTTGATTAACAATCTAGTATATGCTAGCAAGATGAAGAAAGGCGAGAAAGCCTGGAGGTGATGGTTCCTCAGCACTGGTGACTGAAACTCTCTTCTAAACCTAGGCCATTGATCGTGATTGGCTACATGTAGTAATCTTGCGTCTTGCGGGAGCCGTACCACATGATCATGAAGAAGTGCTGTGCCATGGCTGCCTAGCTGCATCTATGGTTAAGTGTCTTCCTCCATAGATTGGAGGTGCTCTGCCAGAGCCAGGAGCTGTCTGTCCCAGGCTCCCCTCATACCTGCAAGCATCAGCACTGTCACCCGCTGTTGTTGGGCAGTATAAGTGACCTGGCCTCCAACTGGCATCATACTTCTGATGTCCGGGTAGCGACGAGGGCCAGAGGGTTTGCTACCTGGTCTTCCAGGACTTCCTTGCTTGCATTCCCTTTTAGGGAAAATGATGATGCTTCTGCTCAGTCTGTCAATCTCACCCATTTCGGGAATTATCCTCCATCTAATTTGTTCTGGCACTTCCTATACCTGACGATAAGCACCGGGCCTAATGGAAAACTTCTAGGATCCCCCTAGAAACTTACCTCTATGTCCGCTGTGCTGTCTGATTCTTATTAGTCCCTTTGTCTGAGTCTCTACCTCTATCTAGAAACTCTCCCTTGGACTTTGACAAAGTAATGAGCATGGAAAGTTATTTACCACATGCGCATCAAGACACGGAAAGCTTCGGAAATTTGTGAGCAAAGAGGGGAAAACACGCTCAGTTCTCAGACAAACATAGTCAGCTGACTTCAAAGCGCAGGATTTGGACAGTTACGAAAACACAGTGAAAATCTCAGCCTGAGTCTGCAAGGACATTGTCATACCAATCCTTTCACATAACCTGTCATGGAAGATCGGAGTTTTCATGGAGAAGGAACATCTTTTTTGTGTTCTCCTGGAGATTTGTCAGACTCCTTCACACCGAATGGCGGAGTAGGCTGGTGTCGGATGTGTTGGAGCTAACCTTCTCCCCCGCTAACAAGGCATGCGGTCGTTAAATCTGTATCTGGCTTGTTTGAGTTACCTTCTCCCCCCTAACAAAGCATGCGGTCGTTATATCTGTTATCTGGCTTGAAAGTTGCACTGAATGCAGCTGTATAGACCGGGTGTTGTGCTCTGGGGAATAAGGGAGTAATGAAGGGGGAGCATTGTGTAATGGCGTGCCAGAGGATCGGTATTCCTGCCTGCCGTGTGTTACAAGGAAGCCCATCCTCACATGGATACCAAAGTTTTCAGCTGCACATTTTCTTTTTTTTTTTTCTTTCTTTGTTTTCTGTTTTTAAAAAGGGCGATAGCCTTGAGATATCATCGTGAAACTGACCGGTCCTAGGTAATTCAACAATTTTGTTCCTCTGGTTCCATCTGGATTCTGGATTCGAACTCAGGCTGCGTTTCAAGAGTTTATGGGTGTACCAACTGAGCTAAGCTCGTTGGTGAAAGCATCTTTTTTTTTTTTTTTTTTTTTTTGTAATACAAAGCCCCTTCTGTTCTGGGGGGCTACTCCAGGTGAAAGCACCTTTTAACAATACGAGTCCCCTTCTATTCTGGGGGGGCACCAGTCCGGTTACTTATCCCCGGCAAGCGTGTTTTTACAAAGACAATAGAAGAAAAGACAAGAAAAAGAAGATTGGCTCAACTCTTGTGGCACTAGCCGCTAAGGAAGGGGGGGCTGCTTCTGTACTTCCGACCCCAAGCCTTCGTCTCTTCATGGTGGATCACCCTATTGGCCGGGAGGCTTGCTAGCAGCAGCCAGACATGCAATAGGGTGGTCCATCACAGGGCATGGTGGATCGGGGTGGGGTTCAGAGCGGTCACCTTTTCAGGGTAGCCATTTCTTTTTTTTTTTTTTCTGTAAAAGGGAAACGGTTGTCTTGAGATATCATCATTGAAGTCGACCGGCCCCAGGTAATTCAGAATTATGTTATTCTGGTCATCTGATTGTAACTAGGTTCGAACTTGAGTCTGTATTTCAACAGTTCGTGGGTGTACCAACAGTTTGTGAGTGTATCATTTCTGGAAGTTTTGAGTGCTTTTTTTTTCCCGGTCTGTGTGTGCACTTTGTTTTTTTTCCCCGACTGAAAACAACTTCTCAGTTTGCTATTTGGTGAAGATTGACATGCACGTAGAGCGTGTGTGTGTGTGTGTCTGGGTGCGAATGTCTGTGGATGTGTTTGTGTGGTTGTGTGTGTGTGTGTGTGTGGGTGGGTGGCCGCACACGCGCGTGTGTGTGTTTGTGTGTGTGTGTGTGTGTGTGTGTGTGTGTGTGTGTGTGTGTGAGTGAGTGTGTGAGAGAGAGAGAGAGAGAGAGAGAGAGAGAGAGAGAGAGAGAGAGAGAGAGAGAGTTTGAATTTGACATCTGATAAGCTGTGGGTCTGGTTTTCACTTTGCTCAGGAAGCAGCTTCAGTCGAAACGGATGTATGAGCCGGTGTACACAGTCTCCGCAAATGGCCTTTCCATGCGACGGACAGGTGTGCGAAGCAACCGAAGTGGTGCCAATCTCAAATGGACAAAGTGCATAGGGAACCGTGCGATTGAGGCAAATGAGGTACACTTCTGCATATGTTATTCCCAATTATTCGTCCTCATAATGTGCAAATTGTCTTGTGCATGTTCTTAGCGGATTGTAGTGTGCAACGTGTAGGCACGGCGACAGTCAGGTTCACTCATGAAAGTCCCATTCTGAGCACCCCCTTAGCTTTGTGAAAGGGCTCTGATATATATACTTCGCTTCTTAAGTTCTTGCGCTATGAGCAGCTATGCCCTTTTCTCGTTTTATTCCTTTTGCTGTGAAGTGGTATCACACTTAATTTGAAAGACTTTTGCACCCTCTGTACCTGAGGGACGGAACAGGCTTCTGAGATTAGGGCTAAGGTAGTCAGAGGGTTGCACTGCGCTCGTAAGGGCCGTGCTGCAACCCGTACAAGATCGTCTCAGGGTTAGAAAGGCTATCTTTTGCATGATGATTCTGATCTGTGGTCACATGTGGTGCAGCATCAACAGAGGAGGTTGCTTGCTGTCGGCTGCCTCTGCCCTTTTTGCGCATGCTCCGCACATTCCTTAGTGACAGGATGTCACCTTGGGACTCCTCTGCACAATGTGCGTACCAGGCCTGGACCCTTGGACCCACCCTGGGTTGGGGGCAGGTCTGGGGGGGTGCCGAGGTCACATTTGGGGAAGTGGGGAAGTGCCGCATATTCCCCTGGGAACTGCAGAGGAAACTCAGCTCTCAGGGGCTGTTTGGCTGAAACAATGCAGCATCCTCTGACTCCTGAGGGGCATCACATCCTGTGCCACCGCTCCTACAGTCTCCCGCGGTATCCCCTCCATAGCCACTACCCTGGCAACTCTCTCTGCTGTGCCTGCTGCTGCCCCCATGAGGTCACTCCGCTTGCCCAAACCGCTGCCCACCCCTCCCCCAACCCTAGCTGTCCCCACTGCTGCGCTCTCCTTCGCCCTTGTTTCCACTCCGTCGGCTTTGCTGAGACTCGCCCCCTACCTTGCCACGAACCTACCGCCTCCTTCTCTGAGTCTGGTCTGCGCCCCAGGTCCCTTTGTTGAATCACCCCGGGGAAACGCGCCATTGGAGGGCGCTGGTGCTGTGCACCCGCTCACCGTTTCTCCCTTTTTTCCCGTTTTGTTTTTGACTTCCCCCCCACCCCCACCCCCACCCCCAAACCGCGGACCCCTGCTGGGGTTGCTGGAGCTGGGTGTTGCCGACCCTGCTAAGAGATTACGCAACTTGGTCTTGAATGCCAGATGGTTTAGGGGCTGCTAAGAGATTATGCATACTCCTAGAAACAAAAGGTATTGACGTGTTAGAATCTCTTCGGGAATCCCCTTTCTCTTTTCTACTTTCATCTGCAGTTGCTGTGACTTGGGCTCATCGTGATATATTGCCTGGTTCAAGACAACATTATGTTAGAATCTCTTCGGGAATCCCCTTTATGGCATATCAGCCACTATTCTTCTAGCATTACTTTTCTAGTTCATTTTACGGTTTTACTGCATTTCAGCGGGGTTGGCTCAATGGTAATTACTAAATGCATTTCCTTCATCTCTTTTTCCATTATTCGCTGTCATGCCTTGAATATAAAAAAAAATGCAGGAAAAAAGTCGTTGCAGCTCTGAGAAACACACAAAGGGCGTAGTGGTCCTAAGGGCATACGCACACTAGGATTTTGCCAACTGAACTCTGGATGTAATTGCTGTCACATACATTCAGGTATGAATGTAATTGTGGTCAGATACATCGAGGAAGGTCCTTGTGCGAGTGTGCCCGAAGACTGATGTTGGCAAGTTTTTCAGTGCCATATTGCTGAAGCATGCGGTGATTTTTTTTCACTGCGGAAAACAGTTTCGCACAGTCAGTAACCCCGGCGGAAAAGGAAGGATGTGGTGGCAATGATGCTGCTGCCGATGCCACCGAAGATGTTCGGTTAGAATCAGGCAGAATGTTGAGCTTTGGCCTGTCAGGGTTATACAGTTCACAGTTATCACCTTCGCTCTCTTCCTCCTCTTTCCTGTTGTCAATCTGGTGTTGGAATTCATCGCGATGGAATTGGGGTGTTGTTATGGGTTGCCTGTGTTATAGACATGAGAGCAGTACGAGAGGGGTCAGGGGAGAGGAAGATGTGTATTCCCCCATCTCCAGTGGGTCCAGTGGGAACAGAAAGATGGGCAACATACACATGCGCGCGCGCGCGCGAGAGAGAGAGAGAGAGAGAGAGAGAGAGAGAGAGAGATTACAGATTTATTTGTTCATGTGATACAGGTGGCGACAAAGGCAGTTGCAGCTGTCGAAAAAAGAAATAGAGAGAGGAAAGAAGCTGTCAAGAAAGCAAAGTTTGATGCAGCAAAGGATAGGGCAAGAAGGAAGGCAGCGCGAAGAGCAGCAGTGAGAAAGTCTCGTAAGTGTTAAAAGTGTTTGTTTTGTCCTTCCAAATTTTGCTCCTTTCACTAAAATAGGTCGAAAAGCTTGTGTCCGTTGAGACATCCGTTAAAATTGGAACGACACAGAGAAAGGAGATTAGCATGGCCCCTGCCCAAGGATGACACGCATAAATCGAGAAATGGTCCAGAACTTCCGTTTTTATAAAAAAATATTAAAAAGGTTGAAAAGCTTGTGTGTTATGACCCGGACCAATTGCGAAGTACAAATTCACCAATAAAGCACAATGCTGCCCAATTGCAACAGAAATGAATGAACTTGAGAGGATTGAGAGGATAAGAAGAAGAAGAAGTAGTAGTAAGAAGGAAGAAGATGAAGTACACCAGCAAAGAACCAATGTCAAAGCACTTCTCCTTCGCTCAACTTCTCAACTCCATATGTCCCCCTCTCTTATATTCAAACAAGAATTATTGTAACAATGCTGACCAGCTGATCCAGAATCAAAGTCCAAGGTCCTCTTCTACAGCTGACTACTATTGAGGTCCTCCATAGCCATGGCCGCCTCTCCCTTCTTCTTCCTTGGAGGCCGAGGCTATGGCGGACTACTGCAGGCCACCGTGATGTCCAGAGGACAACACAGAACAGCTATGGCTGTCCCGCACACACCACCATGCTCCGAACCACCTTGAAGTTACTCGGTATGGCTCCCCTCCCTCGGAGGGGTCTTCTTGCTGCTGCGCTTGACCAAGATGAAGATGGCTGCCACCATAGCCAGGTAGGTACCCCGGCTCCTTCTCCCTCCTCCTTCTTCTTCCTCCTTCTTCTTCTTCCTCCTTCTTCTTCTTCTTCCTCCTTCTTCTTCTTCTTCCTTCTTCTTCTTCTTCCTCCTCCGCTGTCCTTCTTCTTCCTCCCACCAGCGCTGCTCCGCTGCCTCTCTCTAGCGCAGCTTGCCTAGCGCTGCTCTGGGCGCCGCTCCAAAATGCCGACCTCCAACCGCTGGACCGACAAATGAGGCGGAGCTCCTTGCTCCGCCCACTGATATAGCGGCCTGGTTGCCTCTTGGGCGGTGACTTCCAGGCCGCTCGGCCTCCCAAGCAACCGGTGTGCCTCCGCTTTCGGAGGGAAACATCATTGCAGACCCTGAAACATCCCGCACAGGCCCTAGACTCCTACTACTACCCCTAGGACCTACCGGACTGCTAAAAATGCCAACTTTGTCTTTTCTGCCCGGACTTTCAAGTACCCCAAGATTCGGCCTTTCGGCCTTCAAGTACCCCGACATTGGACTTACCGGCCTACTTGAGTGTTTTCCCGCTACCCACCAAGGGTCGCGGGGCTGCTAGCTTCGCCACTTGAGTGTTCCCTGGCTGCACCCCTCACAAGCCACGCCACAGGTAAGTACCGGCCCTACCGGGCCTGCCCAACATCCATGGCCCCGACGGGGTCACACACACACTCAAGCACTCAGTCAGGCACGCATTCATCACCCAGGCACGCCAACCACATACAGGCACGCACTCAGACCCAACACAAACCACTCAACAGGCAGGGGACTTAGTACGGCATGCATTCCACGAGCAAACTCAGAAATCAGCTGTCTGTTACAGTCCGTGTGATGACGGGTCATTACATGTGTACCTACTGTCTTCACCTGAATAGAACACCCGGTCATTATAGCTGTGTTTGGGCCAACTTCCAGTCTAAATACAGCGATAATGACCAGGCATTCAATTCGGGTGAAGACGGTAGCCTATGTGAAGTAGGTAATGGAGTTGATTGCTTCGTCATTCAAGGCCGAACAACTCCTCAGTCTCAAGTCTGGCTCACTTTTTCCACTCCCACTTGGAAATCATCATGTAGAGGATCCTTTCCTCGGTCGTAAAGCTTGTTCAGATTCAGGGCTCAGTTAGGCACCAGTGGTTGAGACTGGCTCACTTTTTCCACTCCCACTTGGAAATCATCATGTAGAGGATCCTTTCCTCGGTCGTAAAGCTTGTTCAGATTCAGGGCTCAGTTAGGCACCAGTGGCGGCGGCAGGTGGTTTGAGTGCACTACTAGGGAACAGCGCAAGTTGGATGCCAGTGTCTCGGATAGTGTGTTGTGGCATTTGTCGAGGGATCAGCCTTTGCGGCAGGCAACCTCTTTTCTTCTCTCTTGTCTTTCACTTCTCCCTTGGCTAACGCCACACAATGTGGCCGTGCCAGAACTTTCTGACAAATATGAAGGTCGGGGTTGGGGCGCTGTTTGATAAGGGACTTGGGGAGAGGCCTCTGTTCAACCTGGAAGCAAAACAAGGGAAAGGGGCCATGGAAGAAGTAGACTTCACAGCTGAATATCCTGTCTTATTCGGGGTGGCAGGGAGGGGGGTGCGAAGGGGTGAAAATAATCTGAGGTGTATAGTGTTTGTACTGGCAGAGATGTAGTTGTGGTGTCATCAAAGCCTTGAACAATCAATGGATCGGCTAAGGTACAGATGGTTGCACACTTCCGTCTCTTTGGGAGATCAGTGGCACAGCACCCTTTCAACGTTGAGCAAGTCGAGTGCAGTGAAACCCATGCCACAGAAGCTTCAAGCATGGCCAAAGCAATGCCAACCAAGCCGTGACTCACACTACTCTATCAATGAAGCAGCAAATGACAACATGTCAATACCAGAAGAGAATGGCTCAGATCGGAACACGATGAGCAACGCTTGTGAAGCTGTTGCAAAAAATGGAGCTTCAATGACTTCCAGTCCCATACTCCACTTCTCTCCCAGAGTTTGAACTCTCCTCCTGTTGACACTTGAAATGAATCAACCCCAGTTATAATGGCAGCAACCTCTTCTTACCAACCTGAGGTCCGACGCTGGCCTGCAGAATGGGATCTTGGATGAAGAATGCTGATCAGTTGTAGCTCCCGAGTGTTCTTCAGTGCCACCACGTCACCCCACAATTGCTATAGCGGCTCCCACCTGAAGACTGCTTCAGTTGCTTGCTTTCTCCATCCTCTTCTTCGCCCTAGTTTTCACTCCGCACCACTTGAAGGTCAGCATGAACAGGAAAACATTGGGTCAAGAATGGTGGTCTATGGTAGCTTCATGGGGTCTTCTTCTTCGTGCGGTTATGGCTTCCATTCACCAGGTTGGCTTCTTCTCCTCTTCCTCCCATTCCCTCTCTCTCTCTCTCTCTCTCTCTCTCTCTCTCTCTCTCTCTCTCTCTCTCTCCTGTCTCTTATACACATCTAGATGTGTATAAGAGACAGGTGTCTTGGTCTCTGTCGTCACTGGCTGTTGCATTAATGTGGTGAGCTCTAGTGCAAGGCATGCTGCTCCAGCACAAGGCAGAATCTCACAAGTGGGGACTGGCAGCAAGAATATATGGAATTGTCCATCTTGGGTGGCCCCAAAGGGATGACTGTGATATCAAATGCTGCGAGCGGCTGGGATGCGTCCACTGTCTGAGGCCATCATTGATGCAACAAGCCCGGATGCATCTGGAAGCTTTACCTGGGCGCTTGTGTTGAAATGATCCGGTCCAACCCGGATCAAAACGACTACTCGACAGCGAGGAGAGGCACGGTAAAGGAGGAGCTAGAAGAAGGAATAACAAAAGTGAAACCGCGGAAAAAAGCTACAGGAAGGAACGGAAAGAAAGAACTGCACAGGGAAGGGCAAAATACCGGTTTCAGTGTGCTTCTTGTTGTCATCAATTTTTTTTTTGTTTTCGTTTGTTTCCCAGATGACGCAAATTCGTTTTTAAGTTGATAGATATGTGACAATATTTTGGTAGGTAATGCTTTCCCTGAGTACTGTTTCCAGTGGCAGTGCTTTTGTAGAAGCTTGCTAAGATTCCTCACTCGTGTTGTTCTGCCAGGCGAACGCATCATATTCGTGGGTCTGGCGCAGTACAGGATGGATCCCGTTGGAAGAACGCTTCATAGGATTCCCGGTAGGTTGGAGTTGCCCCCCCCATCATCAACGCGTAAGTGTGTGATGTGACCTTGTGGAGCTTGTGGTATTCGAGCTTCACATTGGTGTGCGTGCTGCTGGTCTGTGAAATTGTCGTTCATGCCTTCGTGACAAAGTGAATACTGTTCATCTCTGCTAATCTCTGCTACAAGTCCTTTCCGCCAGAAATGCTCTCTGCACGAATTGCTGATGGCAGTTGGGGAGCAAATTCAACGTTACATTTTCATGATTTTTGTCATTGATGGATTCATTTTGTTTTTGTCAGGGTTCAAATGGTATGTAATATGTATATGTTTGTAAAGTGGATGATCATCCGATGATGTTATTGTTGCCAGAGTGTCTGACAAATTGTGATAATAATATGTTAACTTGGAAGTTATAGTTGCAACGGCTGCATCGCGGATCCGTTGCAGCTAATCTTTTTGAAAGGGGGTAGTGCCGAACCTCTACCCTTTTTCGAAGGGGGTAATTGTGATAATATGTTAACTTGAAGGTAGCTGCAACGGCTGCATCGCGGATCCGATGCAGCTAATCTTCTTGAAAGGGGGTAGCGCCAAACCTTTACCCTTTTTCAAAGGGGATAGCCCTGAAGGGCCTGAACCTTAATCTGTCCATCCTGATACAATCAGGATTCGAACTCGTGATTATATACTTCCGTACATTGTGGATCTGTTGCAGCTTATTGTTTCTAAAGGGGGTAGCACCTAACCTTTACCTTTTTCGAAGGGGGCAGCCCTGAACATTATTGTATACATCTTGATGCAAGCAGGAATCGAACTCAACTCATGATTATATACTTTTGTACGTCGTCAATGTTTACTGAGCTGTCAGACTTGAAGTTTGAACCCATGACCTGTTTATCAACAAGGAGACAGTGACCTCTTTGTACCGTTCCACCACGAGGTGGCTAGGTGCAATCCTTGTCATTGTGGAGGGCTTCTCAGTTGTGAAACTCTCTTTGTGCCTCCCGTGAAAGTCGTGCGGGCTTCATCATGGGTGCGATATTGGACACTGTATAAGCGAAGCAGAGAACCGTTTGTGAATTACTGACATGCTGATGAGGCAGACTTTGAAGTTTGAACCCATAACCAGTTGAAGTGCCAGATCACCATGCTGCTGAGTACACTGTAAATTCTATGATGGCCTTCTGAGACATCGGATGTGGTTCTCGTCCTTTTTTTTTTGGCGTGTCCTGCTCTGTTTCGTTGTGGAATGCTTATCGTTTTGTCTCCGCAGAACCTCCTGGCATTTCTAGCAAACCGGCGTCTGCTTTCGCACTGCTTGCTCCAAAGAGGACCTCAATCAACGGGATCATGTGCGTATGGCAACCCTTTCTTGTATCAGATGCTCAAGCATCCATCCATCTGTATATGCATGCAGCACATCCTACTCCATGTGTCTATTTGCCGATGTGTCTTTGCATCCCTCTCTTTCTGCTCCTATCTCTTCTTCTCCTCCTTATGGGAAGGACATGTCGAAAATGGGAGTCTTTGTGTCCTTCTCTTCGTCTTCTCCTTACGGGAAGGATATGTCCAAAATGGGTGTCTTTGCGTCCTTCTCTTCTTCTTCTCCTTACGGGAAGGATATGTCCAAAATGGGTGTCTTTGCATCCCACTCTTCTTCTTCTCGTAATCGGAAGGACATGAGTCATATGACCAAATGGGTCCATCTCTCTGACCTTGTGCGACGGGAACCCGATTTCTTAAGCAGATTGTTTGCTTGGATTCCGGTTTCTTTTTCAAGGGGTATGATTGGGATCTCAATCCCCATGGCATGGAAAGACCATTGGCTGTTGAGTTCTAAAGGAGGTTGTTTCTTCTCTTTGGCCCTAGTTGCATCACGCGCCCTCTGCAAGGATTGTAATGCATCTGGACAACGTTAATGACCAGATGCGGTCAAGATGTTGGCCAAGATGTTGGCCGATGGCGAGTGGTTTTACATAGGCCCTAAAGCTCTTGATCTACTGGTGTCACTGTTCTGGGGTTTGAAGAAGTCCCGGACAGTCCAACGAGCCTCCGGCCAGCTGTTGCCTCTTGATTTCGTGGCCATGTTGAGCCCCCTCTACCTCCGAGCCTGTTTTTGCCGACCCTTGGATTTTCACTGTGCACCGAGTTTTGCTGAGCCTGGGTTCCGTTTTGTTTCTTTTCTGGTACTCTCCTGAAAAAAAAAAAAAAAAAAAGCATGGCCAGACTTTCGAAAAACGACCCTCTCACAGCCACACACACAAAAAAAAAAACCAAAAAAAACACCCCTCTGGACGTGATACCAGGTAGATACCTAGCCCAAAGTCATTGTGCGAGTATGCCCTCAGTGAGGGCGTTACGGCAAGGGTGTCAGGTCCACTGAAGAAGGAAAAGGAGAAAAAAATTTGAAACTGAACTTAGGTCGGGAAAGCGGGTTCGTACATTCTGCAAAGTAATAGTGTGGGCATGCCCTCCTCCACAAAGTGTCAGCAGCCCGTGTTCCCCGCCGTGCCTCCAAGCAAACCGGTACCTCCTCCTTTTCGGAGGGAAACATCATTGCAGACTCTGATATTGCCCTTACAGGCCCTAGACTCAGACTGGTTGGACTGGTACCCACCTAGACCTAGCCTATGACTACTGGGCCTCTTAAAATGTCAACTTTTGTCTTCTTCTGCTCGCCCTCGAGCACCCGACACATCTACCTCTACTTGGTGTGGTACCGGCCTACCTGGTACTTGAGTGTTTTCCGCTGCTCTCAAGTGTCGCAAGCCTCTTTCCCCGCCACTTGAGTGTTTTCCCCGCTGCAACCCTCAATGCTACAGCCACAGGTAAGTACCGGCCCTTCGGGCCTTCTGATCAACCAAGTGCCCTTGCGGGTCACACACACACTCGAAGCCGACAAGCACTCGGACAGGCATGCAGACCAGCAAGCATGCACCCACACAGACTTAGAAAACTCAGCAACAAGCGGCAATCTCAGTAAGGCATACATTCCATGAGCGAAACTCAGAAATCAGCTGTGTGTCTCAGTCCGTGTTTGGCAGGTCGTTACAGTTTCCAACTTTCTAGTAGTTTCTAACTTTCTAGTAGTTTCTAACTTTCTAGTAGTTTCTTCCTCTCCCCCACAGAGTTCAGCACTTTTCCTTTACAGCATTCCCATCTTGATGGTGCGAGTTAGTGTAGAGAAGCTTGGTGTTTTTGTTGGTTTATTCAGTTTTACAACCCTTGATCTCGCAAGGGAGATATTGAAGAGAGAGCAACCGGACAAAGAGAAGCGTCTTTTTATAAGGGGAGCTGTATGGATGTAGGGACTGTGTGTCTGTGTACCTCATGATGGTGTGGTTGTTGCTGTGCATAACAGGTACGTGCGAGTGGGTAATGGAAGTAAGCTCGTGAGGGATCCGAAGGCTGCAATTCATGCTATTGCAAGGCAGGCAGACATCTACTCAACCCAATCTGACTGGGCTCATTTATTCCATTTTTGTCACAGCCCCTCGTTTGTTGTCCTCTTCTCTCTCTCTGCCTACGGTTTACCGGGCAGTTCTGTTTGTGACGATATATATATTGACTGTCAACTAAACTAATATCATTAGGAAAAAAAAAAAAAAACTAATATCATTGTATGCGCAGTCCAATGAGTCCATGTTAAAAAGTCCTATAAACCTGAAAAAAAAAGGAGTGTCTTCGTGATTGTCGTCACCTCTGGAAAAGAATTTTCGGGTCGTATTAGCATATCGCTTGTGTGCAGCTTCCCTTCATTATTGCCAGGCTGCCAAGTGATCTGTATTCAACTTGAGAGGCAGAAACAAGTTAAATAAACATGGACGGTGGACCGCCATTCTTAGTACATAAACTGATGAGTTCTATGTGGGGAACGTTGTCGCACGAACGTCGTCGTTCGTTTCTTTTTGGGCGCGCGCCGCAGAGCACAAATACAAATTGAATTGGAGTGAGAAGACGGTTATCTTTGTATGGAAAAGATGGAATATAATTTTGAAAAAGGGTGCGAGGCTGCGCAGCACAAATTTGCCTCGGGGAAAAGGAGCCTCGGACCGAAGTGGTGGGTTTAATTGGTGTGAAAAACAGGTTGTCTTGATCTGGAAAATATGGAATAATGAGCCTGCAAGGCTGGCATGCGAAAAAACTTTTAATGCACAGTTAATGCAAAGAAGGGACAAGGTGCCGACAAAAGGCGTATTCACTTCGCATTCTTTTTGCAATGCTGTTGCTTCTTATGTCTTGCTGTCCGTTTGTGGGCCTTCACATTCAGCAAATGTCGTCATCTGACCATCTCTTCTTCGTGCAGATACCTGTCCGCTTCTTCATATCTCCAATCTCATCTTTGTCCCCTTCACTACCGTCTTTCCCGGAATTGAACGTATGCCGTACGGCGAATTTTTTCACTCTCTCTAGCCTGAAAACTTGCACCAAAAAAAATTACTGCTATAATTACCGTTTGGCGTTCGTTCTATTCGGCGGCACACGGTATTCCGAGTAGCTAGCTCCTGTTACAGAATCTTGATGGAAGAAGGCTGAAACCAGCGTATTCAACTTGGGAAATGATCAGGGCATACTCGCAGTAGCACCTTTTTTTTATTTTACTTATTTGTGGATGGAACTGCCGCCAGATGCATACAAGTCCCCCGCCGTAAATGACGTTGATGTGAGTGCGCCCTCACACTAGGATGCGCCGTCACACTAGGATTTCCCTGGACGTTATGACGGTTTTGTTTTCACTTTTTTGTTCGAATTAACAAGACAAATCATGTGACCAGATAAGAACGCGGCCATGCACCCCAACCACGCATCTAGAATCGAGGAAGAGAGCTGTCGGTTGTCTTCTAGGTCTGGGCTCCGGATGCAAGAAAAGAAATCAGAGTGTGAGTTAGTGTGAGTTCTTATGCCTGTATCTGGCTTTGAAATGTGAACTGATTCGTTCAGTCCGGTCGAGTTGAATGCGGTCCCTTTGGGAACCTCCTTCTCCTGTGTGTTGTTCTCTCTGTTTGTCTGGCCTGTCCTGGGTTTGTAACTGTGAACCTGGGTTTGTTGCAGACTGGAATACCGGAGCTGTGCCTGATACCGATGGTTGTTACGTCTGCGTCCAGATTTCCTTGCTCGAAATCGTTCTTACTGTTTTTTTTTTTTTTTTTTTAGATTTGTCTCTGTTTTGTGACGATTAGTCGATGCACCTGTTCAGGTATTGGAGATGTATTCAGATGCTGGGCATTGCTGGCATGTCGTTTATTTATAGGATATGTGGCTAATGGGCCCAACAACTGGGTGGAGTGTTTCTTCAATTGGCATGCATCTCCTGCTGTGTGTTTGAGAGAAAGTAATAAGGGGTATCCATGGGGTGGTTTATGGGACTCGTGACGGATTAATTTTTTGCGAGGGATTGCTGTTTGTTTGTTTTCTTTTTCTTTTTCTTTTTTTTTCTTTTTTCTTTTTTTTTTTGGGGGTTGCGAAATAGGTGGATGCTGTTTCTTGTCTTACCAATTGGAGAATCTGAAGTGTTCTTGCTTCCAAGCCTTTGATTTTTTTGCCTTTGTGCAGTCATCGTGTAAAGTGGAGTTTGCATAATGCTCGTTTCAGCAGAGGGCAGAAGAGCCAGCAATATTGTCTGTTCTACACTCGCTTTGGTCTGTCTCTTATACACATCTAGATGTGTATAAGAGACAGGGTTGAGACTGGCTCACTTTTTCCACTCCCACTT